ACTGCATTTTAATCATGATCCAAACAAAGATGCTGCATACATGCAACATGAGCAGTTTTTAATCTAAATTAGATTGTGTAATTTCGAAATTTTAAGCAAAAACAGAATGGTCTGACTTCAGTTTTGTAAAACTATGCATAAAACATATCTGCATGATACAGAAACAGCAGATGAGCTGAATGAGACGCAGATTCACTCTCTGCCAGCAGGTGGCGCTTAAAGCGTTTCCTTGGTTGGCTCGTGGTTAATCGTTACATCCCTACCCTTTATACATTAAAATTTATACATTACATGTGACAGTTGATTTCTATGAACTTAATTTATTTTATGATTTAGTTTAATGACGATAACTAAATCACGTCTCTTATGCTCAACAGGGCTGCATTAATTTGATTAAAAATACTGTAAAAACAGCAATATTGTTCAAAAGAACAGCATTTATTTGAAACTGAAATATTTTTTTTAACATTATAAATGTCTTTAATGTAATTTTTGATCAATTTAATACATCCTTGGTAAACAAAAGTATCAATTTCTTTTTGAAAGAAATTTAAATGGTAGTTTATGTCCAATGTATTATGCAATGGTACAAAGACAGTAAATAAAACTACTAAGAATGTTAAAATGTTCTTAAAATTAGGAATATGACATCTCAGTTGGAAGGGGTAGGAGAGAACCGCTGAAAATTCTACACTACACAGCATAAGAAATTCTTAATATAATACAGTTGCAAGAATAAAATTCTAGAGGAAATTGAAAACATTAACACTTGACAGCCTGTAACAACATTAATTGTTATGGTTTCCATTAAGTGATCTGATCACAAGTGGACAGCACTATATACAGGTGTAAATGGGGTCCAAACATTTAGTGATCAGACAAAATAAAACCACATTCAGACAAAATCAGAAACACATGTTAAAATTTAAGCCAATAAATAGCCAATAGACCCAATAAAGCCAATAGCCAATAAGCCAATAAAGTTCATGGAACATCTTCAATGCGACCAAAGTTAATACCAGGTGCACACAAGACCTAAACAATCCTTTCTCTACGAATGCATTTTTTTTTTTATGACTGTACGAGCCTCATACACTCATAAAAACCCACTATACTGTGATTTTGTTGTCTTTGTCCATTCAAAAACAAGGGATATTTATAGACATATAGATGCATTATTGATCACGGGAGGAAATAAGCAAGCATGTTCCATGACCGGAAGCAAACCTTAAACGCAGCAGTGGGAGCGCATCAATACCTCTACACCACCAGGGAAGAGTTTGACTGACCAAAGAAAGACCATGTCACATGTACATCCATGTAAAATCTGATATAAGATCATGATGTTAGCGGTGTAATCAGTGTGATCCCAAACACACAAATACATGCAGAAAAATCATTAAACTGATAGCAGAAGAACCGCTGTAAACTGTAGCAGAAGAACCGCTTCTCAATATTATTAACTCGTCGTTATCTCTAGGTCACATCCCAAAACCATTTAAGCTGGCGGTTATTAAGCCTCTTATTAAGAAACCACAACTAGATCCTAATGAACTGGCAAATTACAGTTCCATTTCAAATCTTCCATTTATGTCTAAAATTTTAGAAAAAGTTGTGTCTGCTCAATTGTGCTCCTTTCTGCAAAAGAATTATCTATGAAGAAATTCAGTCAGGTTTCAGGCCCCATCATAGCACAGAAACTGCACTTGTTAAAATTACAAATGACTTGTTTCTTGCGTCAGACCAAGGCTGCATCTCATTGCTAGTTTTACTTGAAGAGTGCCGCAAGGATCTGTCTATTTTCAATATACATGTTCCCCTTGGTAATATTATTAGAAAATACGGGATTAGTTTCCATTGTTATGCTGATGATACTCAACTATATATTTCAACAAGACCAGATGAAACTTCTAAATTATCTAAGCTAACCAAGTGTGTAAAATGTAAAAGACTGGATGACCAAAAAGACAGAGATATTACTTATTGGACCAAAAAACAGTACACAGAATCTCGTAAATTACTATTTGCATCTAGACGGATGTACTGTTACTTCCTCTACAGTCAAAAATTTGGGTGTTATATTAGACAGCAACTTGTCTTTTGAAAATCATATTTCCCAAGTTACAAAAACAGCATTCTTCCATCTTAGAAACATTGGCAAGTTACAGAACATGCTACCTGTTTCTGATGCAGAAAAGCTAGTTCATGCATTCATGACCTCTAGACTGGACTATTGCAATGCACTGCTAGGTGGTTGTCCTGCATCTTCAATAAACAAGCTACAGGTAGTCCAAAATGCAGCTGCTAGAGTCCTTACCAGGTCAAGAAAATAAGATCATATTACCCCAATTTTACATTCTCTGCACTGGCTACCTAGTATTAAGTTCCGTATTAGTTATAAAATATTACTACTAACTTTTAAGGCCCTAAATGGTTTAGCTCCTGCGTAACTAACTAGTCTTCTATCACGCTACAATCCAACCCGCTCTCTAAGGTCACAAAACTCTGGACTCTTGGTAGATCCTAGGCTAGCAAAGTCCACTATGAGGGAAAATGTTGTGAAATGAAGGCCGGGACACACCAAGCCAACTTCAAAGAGCTAGTGGTGACGAAAGCCAACGGTGTTCTCGCCTTAGGTCGGCAGCGTCGGACCAAAAGGCTGCGCTCGAACACACGGCACAGACTGCAGCCGACGGCAAACTAATACGTGCGTTCTGCGCATGCGTGAGAGGAATTAACTGTCTATATCAATAGCTATCAATAGTATATATTCGTCGTTCAAAATGAGAAACAGAAACAAAGATATACAAGATAAACGCAGATATACGAAACGCAAACAAAGCAGCGCTTGCTTACCATTTTGAATATCAGTAACGTTGATAACTTTAATAATTTTAAGCGGCTCATGTTGTTATGAAAACATTCGCGTATTAGAATGATTGGGAAAGATCATGTAACATTTAAACAGCCTTCTGTCTGTACCGCCTTCATTTAGGTGCTTGTTTTCATCACTTTCGCTTTAATTCTCGGGCACTGACTCGTTCGCTAAACTGAACATCCAATCAGAGCTCTCACTCGCGCTGACGGTCCCGACGCCGATTCAACATGTCGAATCGGGCAAACTGCCACCGACGTGAGCCCGACGTGAGCCGACGAGTGGAACACACCAAACAAACTAGCCCAACCGTCGCTCGCCGTTGGCCCGACGTTGGCCAACAGCCGACCGTCGGCTTGGTGTGTCCCGGCCTTAAAGGAGGTAGAGCTTTTTCACATTTGGCTCCCAAACTCTGGAATAGCCTTCCTGATAATATCCGGGGTTCAGATTAGACACTCTCTCTCTGTTTAAATCTAAATTAAAGACACATCTCTTTAGCCAAGCATTCACATAATGTGTCTCATAACCCTGTACTTCAGTTACATCTGATCAAATGCACATTAACATTCTTTTGCTTGGGTTGAACATCTTTTTTTGCTTAGTTTGAACAACAGCTACGCAAATTTTTTCTCTATTTCTGTCTCTGTTTCTGCCACGGGATGCCAACAAGGAATTACACAAGCTTCAGTCTGGATCCAACCCTTACAAAGACCTGAGATGACCAAACACATGAGAAGAGATGATGCCAACACCTCAGACAACATACAAAACTACCAAATTTTGCTAGAAGTTTGATCGCAACATATAATCATTGCTGTTAATAGTGTTCACTGTCTGTTTGATTACAAGACATTAACTAACTGCTTGATTTTTACCGTACATTTCTGCCATATGGACATCAACTTGAGATAGTCACCACTGATAAGCTATTACTAAATATAATGTAGAAACTTTAATTTTCTGTAAAGCTGCTTTGCAACGATTTGCATCATGAAAAGCGCTATACAAATAAACTTGAATTGAATTGAATAAATAACCATTAAGTTCCACAGCTAATACAACCTGTCAACCTTCAAATGCACACTGGCTGAATATTCATACCAGACAATGACATGCAAATGGAATGTGATAAGAAACAGCATGCAGGCGTGACAAATAGTGTGACAGACAGCATGCAAATGTGAGACACACAGGATGCAAATATAACAGAAGGTGTGAAGATAACAAGATAATGTGACAGACAGCAGGCAATTTTACAGTGCATACCAAAGTCATCCTGCAGGCTGGTCACGCCCACAGTGGATGCCTTATCCGGACAGCCCTCCAGCTGCGCACTTCCATTCCTGACCAGCAGGGAGGCGCTAGTGCTCAATACCGTCACCTGAGACGGCGTGCGGGATTGCTGACCTCTAATGATGCTAAAATAACACTGTGTCATAAGAGTCACATTAAGATCCCGAAATTAATGCCAAAGTTAGCTGTTTCTGAATTTTGTTCAGTGAAATGTTTTGGAAGGTTAAAAAGAACTGAATTTTTAAGTACTTGTGCCCATTCATAAAGTCAGAATGAGTGTGTATGTGTATAAAGATAAGGCGGACAAAAACAGAACAAGATGCTGGAAGGAAGTGCAAGGTCACATTTTAGAGAGAAAGACAGACAAATGGTTGTGCTAGAGGAATGGGGGTTCTGGAGGTGTCATGAGAGCTGACAGGAAGTGTAAAATGAGAGGGGAGCTGAACGGGAAGAGAAGAGGATGAGTATTCTGATTTCACCGCTAGAAAAAGCAAGAGCGATTTTGAGGTTTGTGTGTGCAAACAGAACATCACCCGGTAGAAACAGAGTGAAGGAAAATAGATGGCTTTGTTCACAATGCATAAAAATCCAATTTGTATTTTAAATCTGATCTTGCAAAATACAAAATCAGGAAAGCTGGGTTTATTTGTTATTGATTAATGACTTGTCACTCTGGCAACCAACCGACTAGTCAGTTTTGAACATTTTGTTTGGCACATTCCTAATATCTACATTAGTTTCCATAGTAATGACATAATCATTAGCAAAATAAGTGTAATTAGAGAGTTGCTGACTGTCATTTTGGAAAGAGATGACGGAAAAACGGAAAACTGGCGAACTCATCAGTTCAACATAAGCATTAGAGAGGCATCACTGTGTTTACACATTCATTTGGATGGTGTGATTTTTGCTGTCTGTCTGAACAAAGCCTGTGAGTGATTTCAGAGAATTTGACTGGAGAAACTGAAAGTTAGTTTACTGAAAGCATCGTGATACTTCAAGAGAGACAGACATGCCCCGGGCCTGATGATGAAACAAAGCACTCAAACACTCTCTCTTCATCTGAAGCTGTCTATGATGGCAAGGATGACTGTGTCTGGGGGTTATGGAAAGATTTAGTATATGAGAAAAGGACGCAGTGACTGTAACTCTCCGGGATACAGTAGTAAAGACGCCAGAAGCAGCATGTGTTAGTGTGTGACAGTGAGGGTGAAGTTAGACGCCATGTGACGTGGTTCATCAGAACAGGATAAAATAAGTGAAAGCACATGAATAGATACTGGGAAAAATAAACAGAAGTATGGAAACAACTCATGCAAGAACCAAAATAAGACTTGAATTGCATTGAAAAGGCAACATGCAAGAACGTTGGCTTCCTGTACCAGCACAATGGTCAGAAAGAGATCAGCTTGGGCTTCTCTGATGACGAGTTTTAAGTCCGCACAGTAGTAAGAAGAGGGTAGCAATCAAATTAAGGATTTAATTTAATGCGATGCCCCAGAGAAGCGTGAAAATGACAGTTAAAGGTGTGTTAGCAAAAGAGGAAGGAGGTGAAACGTGTTGATAAGAATAATGAAGTGGGCATCAGCACAGGTGAGTCAAAGCTGGTGTTCTGCAACCATTCAATCCCTCCCCGCGTGAGTCGTACCTGAGTGGGGATCCGATGATGGAGGCTGGGGGTGTGGAGTTACTTCCTGCGTTGTGCCGTCTACGCACCGCTTGCCGACGAAACGTACTACGCTCTCGGCGAAACGTGGCTGTGTCGTCATTCCCTGGGGCTGCCATAAGAAGACAAAGACAGGAGGGCCACCAAAAATGAGCTATTACTGAACTAGCAATATGCAATGCTGCATGCAAGACCAGCGTAGACACAAGAATCATCAAACACACCAATTAAACACAAATGCAAAGTGCCTGATGATTTAATGCCATATGGTATCGAAAAAAAAAAACATTTAAAAAAAGAAAGAAAAATGCAAAAAGAATGCAAAAAAAGAGTCAATCTAAGGCTCAAGAAGTATAGTTTATTTATATACATATATATATATATATATATAGTTTAAATATAGACACACACACACTCATATATTGTTTTAATGTATATATTTAATAAACTATTATATAACATTTAATTATTAAAAAAATAAATATAGGTAATATTAAAATATATATGTATACAGTATTTATACATATTTATTAAAAAATATATTTATTTCATATTTACATTTTAAATATAATATCATATAATTATATGTCCTCAAAGTCTCGCCGAAGTTTTGCTGAACATGGCACAATCAAAGGAGGACTTGCATACAACATATTGTGATTAAAAGAAAAAAGTCAAATTCAAGGTAATGTGTTTCCAACTAAACTACCTGTGATAAATGCATAATATAAACTAAATCTGCTTTGTCATCTTCCTACATTCAGATGGTTAAATGCATCGCCTTTGCAAGCAGTTTTAAACATGGACTTTAACTGCAGAACTCCCACTGCGGATGAACTTTGACCTTATCTGATGACTTATCACTGAAAGTAAACTTTATTACTACAATAAAACAGTCTAAACAATCTCATGCTGGACTAAAAGGGGTGTTAATCAAGACAGAATGGTTTACTCTAGAACAATGCTTTTGCTATGTTCAGACCAGTTAATTTGTGAGTAATAAGCCTTAAGAAAAGACATCAGAAGCATGACAAAGAACATTAGACAATGCTCCCTCAAACATGATCCAGTTACTGGTGCTGTGGAATAAACATCACACAGAAATGCACAGAGCTAAAACACACGCATCTAAACATCACACACAACTCTATATATCACATGCTGTGCTTTTAAACAGAAACACAAATGGAGAATGGAGAAAGAGGGCATGAAATTAAGATCTGTTTCAAAACATTTGATCACAAGTGATTAGCAATGGGTAAAGTTTTAAATAGGGGCCAAGATGTTTTATGAATACTGAATCCACATTCACACTGCAATTCACAAGCAAATGTTGCACAAAGACTGCATGCTCACTGTGGACCAGAGGAAAGAACAAACCCTGCAGATCTCCTATATATAGACTCAACAGGCTGTCAGAGTAAGACTTCAGTAATTCTGCAGGGGTTTGTGGGTCACAGCTGCACTGGCAAAACACACTACATGTACATCTACAAGCTTCTGGGCAAAGCTTGTTTATCTGATCGGCTACATTCTGCTGAAAAACATCCATCTGTGCTCTGACCTACTGCAGACCTCAGATGTCTAGCACTTCAGACTGATCTCAGAATGAGATCACGACTTACAGTGATAGTTCATTTACTCATTTCATTCCAAACCTCTAAGATTTTCTTTCTTTTCATGTTGGGCAGAATGTTGCATTTTCTTTGCTATACATTGAAAGTGAAAGGTGACCAATGGCTTTCAAGACAAATATCTGTGAGGAATAGACAAATGTATTTTTTTACTGAAAATTTCATCTGTGTGATTTGAATGTGCGCATATTCTGAATTGGTTCACCAATCACAATCAGTTACAAATCGTGATGTACTATTCACTGCCTGCATTACTGATGTCAAACCTGCCATGCCACGTCTTGTCATGCCATATTTTAATATATGCAAACATAAATGAGATTTGAAAGTGAATAATGACCTGGCGGCATTAAATGGAAATTATCCATGAAATGTGTTTAATTTTTTCATCTTGTAATTTTTAATCAAAATGCCATAACTCAATCTTCCATTAAAACATCTCTGGACTCTCTGATGACATATACCAGACTTCTCTCATCATTCAGTCTGCTTAAACCCCGCCCCTTCTTACAACCTAACTGCAAGCTTGCATTCAGATCTGCCACCATTCATTCAACAACCAGTGGACTGAACCAAGTCCCCATCCTACAATTTTTTTATTTTTCGATAATCCATTTTACTCAGATGTATGTCATAACATGAAAGAAATTATATGCCTTTACTTCTGTTACATTGCATCTTTAAATTTAAGTCTTTTCCTGACACAAAGCTGTATGGCTTGGGTATTTTATGTTTTTATCATTTTTGGACCTTGAACAGCCCCAGGTCACCATCCTCTTCCAATGTATGGAAAAGAGCAGCATGAACATCCTGATAAACTTCTCCTTTTTGCGGTTCATGGAACCAAATATACAATTTGGAATGACATGAGGGTGAGTAAATAATCACAGAACTTTTATTTATAGGTGAACTACCATTTTAATCAGCTCACCTCGAGATCCTGTTGTGTCTTGCGTGTGACTAAGGGAAATAGGGCAGGGCAGACTGTTTCTCGACCGGGTCACTGACTCAAGCTGAGAGGCCCTTCCCAGCAAGGATGCCGCATCCAACACCTCCCCCTCTTTTGCCTCCAGGTCCGACTTGGAGGTGGTAAGGGGTCTGGAACTTGCTGGTGCCCCCAAATGGTGGGGGTCATTAAGGCAAGCAGTAGTGCTGCTGTCCAGGCTCAAGACCCGGGCATGAGTTTTGGCACTGCCTGTACTTGGAGTGCGTCGCGAAGCTTTGCGTTTGCCCTTCTCCTTGTCTTTCTCCCGTTCCGTTTCCTTGTACTTCTGACCGTGGGTTTGCACACCATTCGTTTTGGCCCGTAGCGAGGGGCCACGGCGATCCTCGGGAGAGGGGCAGGAGTGGAGTGTGCTGGATGAGGAGTCTGTGCTAAGCTGGTGGGTGGAGTGTAGGCTGGAGGCACAACTAAGTTCGCTCTGATCACTGGAGTCTTCCTCTCCTTTCATGAACACTGCAGAGCGAGGCTTTGCCATGCCACGTCCGCAAATGTATTCCCGGTGTCTGCTGGCATCAAAACTGCTTGCGCGCTGCTTACCATTGCATCGCCGGCCACTGTGGTTGGCGGCAGACGAGGAGGCAGCCCGGTGAACAAGACTGGCTGTTTTGGGATGCACTTTGTCTGGTTCTGCCTCCTGGTGCTGGTGGGCGAGACCAGCAGAGACATCTACGCTAGTCCTTGGTCCCGCCTCCACAGTTCCTTCCCCCTGTTGGCCCTCTGAGTTTGTGGATTTGGGAGCATCGCCGACGGGTAATTTGGTAGCAAGTTCGTTGGCATGGGGGTTTTTATTAGCCTCCCCCGAGGCCATATTAGAGTTACGCGGGTCGGTATGTCCTGCATTTACCTTCTCATCCCCGGACAATGACAGTAGACTCTCTACGTGCGTGGAGCTGGTCTGCTCGCTGTGCAGGCTGCTCAGAGTACTGTTGGTATCCCGGTCCGTCCCACTGCAGTAGCTCTCAGTGGAGCCACTACTGCGTGTGCTTAAACTCCGCAAACTTCCGGCACTCCGTCCACCTTTTCTTTCCCGACCCCCCTGTACACCCTCTGACTGGTACAACCCAGATCCCCCTTCCCCAGCACACATTCCTTCCCCTGTCTCTCGGGAAACAGACCGTGATATCCTGCGGTGCTCCTTCGGATGACATCTGTGACATTCCGTTCCTGAAGTGCTGGGAGTTCCAGAGTCTGGCTGTTCAGAGCTCTCTGTCACCCTCTGTGACCTGGAGGCCTCCATTTCACAGACAGGATCCAGTCCTCCCCGACGGGGTGGAGGGTACAGGCTGAACTCGGGCAGAGAAGGATCTGGAAAAGCAGATCCCGCAGAACTTGAGGTCCGAGGCAATCCACGAGGTCGAGATGACTCTTTCCGGAAAGACTGTGAGTGGGTGGAAAGATGGGCAGTAATTTCTGTGTCACAAGAGGACAGGGACTGACTAAAAGGGTGAGGGGTGGAGCCATAAAGGTCCTGAGCCAATGAGGTTGATGGCTGCATGGAGGCAAAAGAGTCATTGGAGACGAGGCAGAACATCTTTGTGTCCAACATCAAATCTAGAGGGAAAGAGAAATATATAAAAAAAAGTGTATGAAAATTACATTGACTTGGAGCCAAGATTGAGCCTATGTGAATAATAGACAATCCAGGTCTTACTGCAAACGATTTATTGGTGTGTGTTGTGTTATAAAAATGTAATGACCTGCTCTTCCTGTGACTTTCTTTTTTTTCACTGAAGTCAGTTATGATGCGTTTACATTGGCACAGAGCAAGAGGAGGGGAGTGGGCGCTTTCAATTCATTCCTATGGGAGCCAAGCAACAAGCTTGTGCGATCGATTGTGGGATTGACAGCGGATAAGAGAAAGTGGTGAAAGGGTCGAAAAGTTCAGAATCATCAACTTTATATAGATATCAAGTGAAAATGTCAGTAAGGTGCAGGTAGTGACATTTGTCATGAGCATATAAAAATATGCTGATTGTGTAGGAGTTTCTGCTGGATTTAGTGTGTAAATCATATTGTTTACATATTGCACGCTTTCCAGTCGTTACATATATGTTAAATATTCATTGTGAATATTCATTGTGAATGAAGACTTGCTGGGTTAACAAAAGTTATTAAACTGACACTGTATGTTTACTTTGGGCATTCGGAAGCAAAGCTTGCATCTTTCCAAATGTAATTGTGTGCATATATAATTGATTATACTAGCGGTGTACTAAGAAAAACTAAAACTCATTACACAACCCAAAGTGGCAGGGTTGTAGTGTTTTGAATGGCACTGAGATATGTTTTTCCACTGCAATGTTCACGCATTGTTAGGCAGTGCTGGCTTTATGATAAAGTTAATCAATAACCAAATAGCCACTTTTCAATCACTGGATCATTGATGATCCAGCATTACAGTCCAAAATTTAAAAACATGCAGAACATGACCCAGTTGTGCTCCATTTAGCAGTTTTTGAATTCAAAAACATGTTTAAACAGCTTAAAGAAATCAGGATCAAGTCAAAATGTAGTTATGTACATCCCTAATAAACACACACAGTTTCCTGAGCACTAATGCAGTGTTAAGAACCGATACAGTCATCTGCCAAAATCATTTGACCTACATTACCAAGAATCCATTCTGCACACTATCCAAACACCACACTGTCCATAATGTCTTTTTATTATGTGCTTTAGAAAGACTGAGCTCAGTGTGCAGTGCTGACATTACCTCTCTGTGTCATCTCATTATTCACAAAAATCTTTTATACGGATCACAAACTTTTGGTTTGGAGAGACAGACATCCCTTTTCATGTTAAGAGAAATGAAACACAGTCAGTAAGAATACGAGCCTAACCGACCAATTCTCAGTTCTGCTAAGGACATGAAGACGTTTCATTGCATGTGTAACTCTGAGAAACTTTCCCAAAGTACCTTGTGAGCCAGTTTAGAAAGAAGAAAAAAAACATAAATTGCCCATTTTCATTGCCACTAGAAAGTGAATGGAAAAACTGATTACTGAAGGTAATATCTTTTAAATCTATCCTATGAGAACATTTTCCCATGTAACATCCAGACATACATCAGTGTCTGTCTGGATGTTACATGGAAAAAACAACTATTTATGTGAACTATCTGTTAAAAAGAGATCAGTAATGAACTTTTAGAGGCTAATTTGCATTGCATTATACTATAGCTGATGGTAATTAAGTTTCACACCTTGGTCCTGACTGCAACTCTGAGCCAAACTCAAACTGATATCATCGGGAGCCTTTCCAACACCTGCCCCTGCAAACAGAGAGAGACAAAGAGAAGGTCAAGTTTTATAACTTATTCATTAACCTAACACATCCGCCCTCTCTCTCTAACTCTCTCTCTCCTGCTCACCTTTGCAACTTTACTCAAACACATCCCTGACCTGGCCTGTGCCCGCAGTACTGCAGGTCTTCTGACATATCACCACTGTCTTCAGAAAACCTCTTCTCTTTGATCCTAAACACTTCTATTTATAGCTACAGTAAACCTGGTTCACAACACAGTGTCCTCTGAGTTTTTTGACAACTCAAAAAAGTCATACAACTTCTAGTGAACACTAGTGGACACCCTGTAATGTTCCTGCTGCTGTTATTTGACTCATCTTGTATATAACACACAATCAATCAAGAGTGATCAAGAAACAAAAGATTCTTAAGACAAGTCTTTTGTCTAAATGCAGGTGAATAAATAATAACAGAATTTTCCATTTTCAACTATTCCTTCTTTTTGTTGCCACATACTAATACTGTCATAAGTTTAAAAACAAAATCTATGTCTCACGTTTGGTTGTGACTGAGCCTCCATGGGATGTTATCTGTAGGGAAAGAGAGACAGACAAGATCAATGAAACCAGCTCCGATGAGTCATTTACATGAGATCATGACGTTTCTAACTTCCCATCACTGTTACTAATTTAGCAGACTTGCACAAAAACAAATCACAGTCATTTAATCACATGACAACCAACTGACATGACTTTCAGCTTGAGATTCTTCTCTATGATTTCATGATTCAACCAACAGTTTCTGACCCAACACATACACAGACAGTCTGGGACAAGCAGTACTATAAGCCAGAACATAACACCCCTGAGATTTCACCTATTAAACTTCAGCGAAAGGCAGAGATTCTGACTGAAGGGTTGCCCTCAAACAGACAAAGACTCTAAACCAGGACAGCTTTATTTAGCTAATAACACCAATAATAGCTAATAACACTAATATTCACAAATGTTACCACATAATCAGAGCAGTATATGCAAAAAAAAGTATATAATATTAGGTATGTGCAATATTAAATAAAAATATATGTTAATGAATATAAAATATATGAATATGATATATAAAATAGTTGAATATTATAAACATTGTATAATTACAATATTTATAAAATATTTTATATTCATTACCATATTACAATTATATTAAATTTAATGTTACAATCAGTGTTGGGTAAGTTACTCTAACAAAGTAATTGACTACTAGCTACTAATTACATCTTCAACAGTGTAATTAGATTACTGTACTAATTACTCTCTCTCTTAAAAAGTATTGCAAATACTCATTTCTAAATCTCATATCAGCCTCGACCAGTTTAACGGTACAAGGATTGACATGAAACTACTCTTGTAATGCTTTCAAATATGAAATTTTTCACACTTCTCAAGAATGACTGATTTATAAAGTTTTAGCTTTTAGTTTTGGATCTGTTTTTAGTTGTTTTAATACTACAACTGATTGCTTCTGTTGTCCTCATTTGTAAGTCGCTTTGGATAAATGCGTCTGCTAAATGACTAAATAAATAAATAAATAATAAATAAATAATATGGAATTGCATTATTTATTCTTGAACTGACCAGTATATTTAAAGGGAGGTTACATTAAAACATTAGACGTTAAATTTTGATGTTAAATCCACTACCGTTTTCTTTAGAATTGCATTTAATGCAATTACATCAGAAGTACCTGTAATAAAATTACTTTTACTTAATACTCTTCCTTAATTACTTTTCTTTTTCAAGATAAAAGTAATTAAATTACAGTAATACATTACTTAGTAATACATTATCCCAACTCTGGTTAAAATGAACATAATACAATTCATAATAAATGTTTTCATTAGTCATTTTAGATGTTCTAGAAAATAAGATTTAAACATTCAAGGTAACTATACAATTATTTCAGTCTTATCTAACTGTGAAGAAAACAAGTATTATTTTTACATTAGAATTTATGGTACCATTTGTAGCTAGTCCTCATCTGTTAGCATAAGTGTTGTGACCTCCAAAAACATTTTTGGCTGCGGTGGTACTGGTATATTGGAGTGGGAAAAATGTGGTTAATTAATCAAATCAGATTATAAAGTGCCTCAAGTTAAAAAAACTAAAGCAATGCACACAAAAAAAGCAAACACACACAAACACACCTGATGGTTGGAGTCCATTCCTACGTAAGAGTTCCGTGAACTGCAGTCGACCGGTGGCGTCTCCTCCCGTGCAAAATCAGACATCTCTATTCCACCCCCTGGATCCCTGCACACACACACACACACACACAAAAGGTTAGTTACCTAGCAACACTAACAGAGGAACAGCCCTGAGGGTTCAAGAGAGTTAATGTCATTTATGATCAAACTTGCACAGCAGCTCAGGCACCGACAGAGAGATCATTTCTAGCATCTCTCTATCTAATGTCTGCCACCCATTAGACAGGGATCCACCCCTCCTCCCTTCACTTTTTGGGAGATTATACCGTTTTTAATATTTTTAGGAGGTTTATTTTGCTTGGCCCCCAAAGGATAAAATGTTGTGGTGAATGGTAATCCCATGGCTAGAAATGGGCGGTTCTTTTATTTCATTCGGGACGTACATGCGTGTCTCTGGAACAATTAGGAACACATGAGCTCTTCATATCATATACTGTATTTCCTTAATTAGTGCTATCTTACCAACCAGGAATGCCCCTCCAGATGTGTGTTTATAGTCCATTTAAGAGACTCTCCATTTCTCTTTTTTTCATAGAGATAAGAATGCAAGAAAATAAGACACGTGTTCTTTTCTAATACATGAAAAGTTGTTGATGTCTGTAAAAAAAACTTTGCTAAAATGCTTGATTTGTGATTTGAGTTACAGTGTTTACAGTGCTTGCTCTCGTAGAAAATGTGCAATCTAGCAATTATCTCACCTCTGAAAGTTTGCAGACTGTTTCTGACTCTTCTGAGTGAATGAACAAAAGCATCAGTCTGTGTGTGTTGGTTTATAAGGCTCTATTTCAGTTCTCCTGATTAACCCATTTCCCTCCTCCCTTTTTCTCTGTCTCAGTGGGTGATGAATAGATCCAGTATGACAGCAGATTAGTTCTCAGAAACACCCCTACCGCTGAGCAACAGTCCCTTTAATCAGAACTTTACTGAGCTGAACCAGAACCTTTCTGAGCAGAATCAGAATCTTTCCTGCAAAGATTCAAAACGTGAAATGATTTAAAAAGCTTTTCTTAAATTGAATCATTACCTTCCAGAGCCAAATCAGAACGTTTCTAGAGAAGAATTAAACCCTGAGATGATTCACAATGTGTCTTGGAATGATTCAGAATATGAGACGATTCTAACCCGTGTCTGAGCCAAACCAGAGCCTTCCTAAGCTAAATCAAATCTGTTTATACAAAATAAAAAATATTACCTGTGCAGTACATTTTGTTATGGCTTATGAGAGAAAACCGTGATTCTTACCCAGGCCCGTTTGAGTCTTCCTGCCGGGTGCCAGTACCCTCACGTTGGCGCTCTGCCCCCTGGCCCCGTCCCTCGCTCCCTTTGGCCCGCAGCTCCACCACCTCCCCCTCATCCAGCGCAGTGTGCAGGCGATAATTCACTGCCTTCAGCAGCGCAAACATTCCTGCTATCACCCCGCAGTAGATACCCACAATCACCATTGTGGGGGGCAAGGCCTACAGAGAAAGAGAGACACAGTAAGAGGTTTAAAATTAGTTGAAAAAAAGTATTTTTGTGATTTTGAACAAATATATATTATTTATGTTTAAAGAAAATAACACTTTTATTCAGCAAAGAATGCATTAAATTGACAGTAATTACAGTAAAGACATTTATGTTATAAAAGATAGGCCTATATTTCAAATAAATGCTGTTCTTTTGAACTTTCTATCCATCAAATAACCCTGAAAAAAGAAAATGCATCACAGCTTCCACAACAATATTAATCAGCGTAACACTTTTTAATATTAATGATAATAATAAAAAAACGTTTCTTCAGCACCAAATCAGCAAATTAGAATGATTTTTGAGGGATCATATGACACTGAAGACTAGAGTAACCGCTGCTGAAAATTCAGCTTTCCCCTGACAGAAATTAATTACATTTTTAAAATATATTAAAACAGAAAGCAGTTATTTAAACTTGTAAAAACAAAATTATCTATATTACGGTTTTCACTGTGTAAAATGCAGAAAGTCTTCTTTAAAAAAACATGAAAAAACCTTACAGACCACAACTTCATTTGTGTACAATCTTTAGATCTATTATTGATCTATTAATTTTACCCATCAAAGAATTTTTTTAAAAAGCCACTGCATTTCAAATATTGACATTAAAGCAAACCAAAGCACTGGGGGTATGATATGCTGAGCTCACATATTCCAGCCTATTAACATCCTTCTGTTGTATAAATATCATACACAAATATAGGACCGTGTTATACAGAGTTACAGGGTTATGAAAAGAGGCAACAATATTTCAGTCGCAACCAGAAGACAGAAGCTAAAAACAGCCTTGCACTGAATGGACATCTGTCTCTAGCAAAGCCACCTAACACCATACTGCCCTAAACACCTCTCCATATCTGACACACACACCCAGACCCATATTCCTCAATATTCATTCACAAAAAACGCATACATCACCTCACTGATACAGATATTGCAGCACTACTGTGGGTCTTTACATGATATTGTTTAGCTGTTGTTTAAAGGTAATTGAGTATTCAAGCAGAACCTAGATGGATGGATCTGTGCTGGAAGTTAAATATGGACTGAGTGGCACTAGTCTCTCCATCTGTACACAGATACATAGACCTGCCCTGATACCTCACCCACAGAACGAGCATGGCTTTAAAATTAATACACAGTATTGTCTATTACAAGTATCTTCTTAAAATAGACTGCAAACAGGAGTATAATGTTACATGGTGAAGGATTTCACCATGATGAAGGATAGCGCAAGAGTTGCTATGACAAAGATGGAATCTGTACAGTTTTTCCTGCATTTTTTGTAATGATTTTGGAATAAAATATGTTGAATTAGTTTAAATATGATAAAATGTGCCAAACTTGAGAGTACTACACTTTGGTGGCTGAAAGCATAATTAAAATGAGCTGATATGTGTTATAAACAAAGCCACAGTGGGATGGTGGGAAGGTTTTTTTTTTTATTATTGGCAACTATGGTTCCATGAAAAACCTTTAACATTTGGAAGGAAACACAGCAAGAGATTTTAAATTAGTAGAAAACAAGCCATTTATGTGTCGTTTTGAGCTAATATCATTCAAGTTTCATTTCACAAGACTCTTTAAAAAAAAAAAAAAAAAGGTCTTATTCAGCAAAAACACATTAAACTTGACCAAAAGTGACAGTAAAGACATTTATAATGTAAAAAAATATTTTTTAAATAAATGCTGCTCTTTTGAGAGCAGCATTCATAATCTATGGCAGTGCCAGTGTGTTATATTAATGTATGTTAACGTTTCTTTCTTCTGTGTATTTTTTTCTAAACAAGGGAAGTCAAACAGTTTGGCTCACTAACCTTCTTTAAAATATCTTCTTTTGTGTTCCACAAGAAAGTAAGTCATACAGCTTTGGAAAGACATGAGGGCGAGTAAATTATGACAGAATATTCATATTTGGCTGAACTATCCTTTTAAAGCAGACAGACTAAACACAGACCAAACCTCATGACAGCAAGTCTGAAATACCCAACTCTGCTGAAAAACCAAGTCAAAACCACAACAAACACTCATCAAACCAGAACAGAACCGATTCAGTGGTTTCAACAAACAGACCCCAGACCCACATCGCTGTCAACCAGAACTCCCACACCTTTAGAACAAATTTCCACGACTTTTTCCAATTGTTTAAGAATACTGGAAATTCTATTTTAAAAATACTTCATTTTCAGAAATTTCATTCACACAAAACAATGGATAAGCAAATAAATATCACAGAGCTGAGCATAACCAGAAAAAACATACAAGTAATATAAATGTCCTTAACCTTCCCAGATCTGGAAATCACAATTCTAAAATTCCCTGATATTTCTAGGATTTCCATGACCACGGAAACACCGTAGGGGAGATGAAGAGAAACGGGGAAGAGAAATACAGCCTGTGTGTACTGGAAATAGAGAGATGAGCTAGAGAGAAAGAGAGGGGGATGGAGAGATGGATAAAAAATGAGGAAAGAATAGATAGATAGAGATAGGCTGATAACGACTAAAGGATGGAGAGAAGAAAAAAACCGACGGCTGCATCTCTCACCATGTAGAGCGTGAACGGGAGGCAGAGCAGCAGCAGCCACAGGTAAAGGTGAAGTGCGTTCACGAAGGTGTTCTGGTGGGGGTCGTAGTACCATCCACCCGTCACCGATGCCCACACGCCCTGCCGCAGGACCTGGAGGGTCTGCGACCCCATATTTACCCCCTATACCCTCTCTAGCCGTCTCGGCGCAGGAGATACAGCGCTGGCCCGTCGAGCTCCGTCGCAGCCATCTTCTTCTCTGTGGTCCTCCAGCGCTGCGCTTCCCGTCCCATCGTGCTCTGCGCGCACCCGGCTGCTCGCGTACAGCTAGCCAGAAAGTGGCACTGCGCGTGCTGGAGATACGAGATATTTTGCAGCGCCCCCGCGCGGCGAACGCGAGTATCGACGAACAAAAACATCTAGGGCGATACTGTGATTTTTTGCATTACATTAAATATTAAATAAATACATTATTTAATAAATAAACCAATCCCTATCGAGATCCTCTTAGTCAGTTTGCTGGTACACGAAAGAATATCGTGGGAATGTTAAAAAAAGATATGAATACATCGTACCGTTATGTATTTTACTGTAAGCACGACTACTGTGCGCATCCAGGTGGAATAAACTAGGTCAGGTCTGGCAGTATTTGGGTTGAACTAATTGTCACTGTTATATGAGGAAAAACTAAATTCTCATCAGAACATGTCTGCCGGCTATGAGTCTGTTTTAGTGCACTAAATACATAGCGCAGTTCACATTCATGCAGCAGCGTTAAAGATGCACGTACCCATATGAACACAAGAGAGCGCTGCGCACTCATCTCTATCGGAAAACCATTATACGCTATCTATTGAATCACTTACAAAGGACATACATAAACATTTTAATCAGAAAAAGACTGTACAGGTTTTTTTTAAAAAAGTGTATTTTTTACTGTGAGTGACAGAATTGCATAATGCTACAACTCAGTAATACTGAAATATAGAAAATGACATTAAGATGAAATAAAGACATTTCAGTTTCCTTATTACAAAAATTATTAAATTATACAGAAAAAGCCTTTATATACAATAATCGTAAATGTCTACCCTTGGTTAGCTGGTGCAGAGAACTGCCCACATAAGTCCTGCAATGTTACAGTTGTTTGTGGCTGACCAGCATGTGTGTCACTGTAGGCGTGCACGTTTCTCAGGTGGTGGTTTGTTGGGTGTAGTTTGTGGGGCTGGCCGAGCAGGGCCCGGAGGGGCCGGAGGCTTTGTTTCTCGCTCTTCTGGAGGCTTCACTGTCTCAACTGGCACTTCAGGTTCTTTCTTTACCTCCACTATGGACAGAGAGTGAGTTTATAAAAATCACTTCTCATCAGCAATGAGTGCAGGATATTTCTAATGTCAACAAAGCTTTAGCTTTTCTTTTCTTCTATATTAGTGATGAAAGCATTTAATCGGCTAAATTATCCAACGGACAGTCAGTCTTCAATCAAACCACATGTAAACAGTACTGTATTATGCTGCTTTTCCAAATATATGAATTACACATGTAATTACATCCAAGTATTTTTTAAATGCAAGTATGATTTGGAAACATGTAGGTATACAATAAATACATTGTCCATTGTGCATAATCCATACCATCTACAGTAAATCTGACAAATTTCAAGGTTTCTTTCTCAAGTTTTGCCATTCAGATGAGTTTTATAATTTACAAATAACTAAACATGATTTTCATCTGTAGCGTGTGATAAGGTGAGACTGAGTCAAGTATTTGCATACCTGGGACAGGCTTCTCTCCTGGTTTGGACTGAAACAGACATGAAATGAGAATTTAAATGGGATATGTTGCTCTAATTAAAACAACATTCAGAAACAAGTTAGAAATGTTTCATGTGTATATTGTTAATACCTGATAGAAAGTTGGGGGAAATTTATTGCGCAGGTCCAGTAGCAGCGTGTCAACTCTCTGCCTTTGGAACAAAGAACTCGGCTCCTCTTTCCGCTTAGATTTAGGCTTTACCCTTTCTATAAATCACACATACAAAACACAGTTTTAGATAGGTACAGTTGTACTTGTTGAGATATGCTTCCTGCTGCTGATTGTGTGTTCTCACCTCTCTCCTCCTGCTCTTTAAAGTGCCACCAGTACCCTTTGGATGGGTGGTATCTGCAGAAAGACATTGCCTCATCAAACGCAGACTGAATCCCATGAACCGCTGAGAGCTAGATCACATCAAAACAAACAAAATATGAATGTTCATACTGATAGAAGTAGGAGTTAGGGAGATTGTTCTAGGGTTATAACGCACCACTCTGGAACTGATGACTGATCCCAAGTCAGGCGCTTGATACACCACTCCAGCTATGATATAGTAGTCAGCAAGAGGGATCACTGGGAAGGGAAACACATACATGTTTTTTTTCTGCAAAGAAATTTAATGTCAGCATGTTGAATGTAAAGTCAACAAAAAGGATCCCATTTATTGTGATAAAGAACATTCCTGGTCTTTCAGAATTAAAAAATTGCATTGTAATAATAATAATAATAATAGTAGTAGGTAATACTAAAATGTAGTAACTCCTGAAACAGAAACAACAACTCCTGTCACCTAAAATTCTCTTGCAATTCAGTCTCTCAAAGAAGTAATGTATAAGCAAAAACAGCCAAAGACAGAAATGTGACGCATTAGTGATGAAAGCATTTAATCTATTAAATGTTCAAATTCATAGTCAATCTTCAAGCAAACCATGTATAGAAAGTTTGCAAATAAACTACAACAACATTCGATGTTTAAAATATTTTGAAATTGCATCATTGTCCTTTTTGTCATTCTGGTGCACTTTGTATCAAACATTGCCCTTTGTGTTAAGTATCATGTCAATTAACTTGACCTGGATTGCAAGTCAACATTGCAAAGGATACAAAAAAAGCATCATCTGAAAATACAACGCAGACACCAAACCAAAAATATCCTTATATTACAATTAGGGATATGCCGATATCAAATTTTCATGCTGCGATTAATTGCTAATGCTTTTATCATGGTATACGGTATTATCACGGTGTTGAAATTTAGTTTTAAAAAAGTGCTGTCATAATACAGTATAACAGGTTTAATAACTTTTTTTCTTATAACAAAAATAACTGAACATTTAAATGCAATAAAGCAATACAGAAAATTTTATAAAGTTAAAAGTTTTACACAGATTAAAGTGCAAAAGAACTATAAAGACCAATAGGTATCACTTTACAATAAGACCTCATTAGTTAACCTTAGTTAATGCATTAACATTCACAATGAGCAATAGCTACATTTGCTACAGAAGTTATTAATCTTTGTTTAAAAAATACAAGTCTTAGTTCATGTTAGCTCATTAATAATACAGTTGCAATTTTCGATTTTAACGTGTTATTAAATATTGTAATTACTTAAGATTAATGAATGTTCAGAAGAATTTTTCATTGGCAGTTTATGTTAACTAATGAATTTCAGAGAGTGAAAGTGCGCTTTCATTCAGAGCGTCTCTCACATGTTCCGCCATGTGCTTCTCGTCCGCGCTTGTTTACGTCAGAGTGCGCACGTGTCTTTCACGCAGCATACAGCGGTGTTGTGCATTTTGACCAGTTGATGGGAAAAGTATTCTTAAAATGCATTCAAAATTCTGAATAATTTGTAATATATATAATTATTCACGGTATTTAGAAGTGCCCACGATAACAATATCGAGCATATGCATTACCGTGATATATCGCATTACCGAATACCGGCACAAGTCTAATTACAATATTAAAAGCAAATACATCAACACAGGCAGCAGAAACTGAACAGCAGTGCAGAAACTCACCTTGTGTTGGTGACTGTCTCTGCTGTTTTCTGATGATGTACAGAATCGGCTCCTGTGCGTGAAGCAAAATATATTCCACACCCACCATCTGACTACACACACAGAAAACACAATTACACACAAACAACACAGCTCTACCTATTTTAATCGAATAGGAAATCAATCAGTAGTGACAGTAAAATAAACACACATGCATGTATTATACCTGTATATCAAAAATATAACCGACATGACTAAGAGTATACATCTGATGTATGTATAACACCGTTTTAATGGCATAGTGCAGTGCTTACTTGAGGTGATCCAGGGTTAATCTCTGCATTTTCACCACCTCGTTGTTGCAGGTTCGATCATAGAAGGGGTTACTCCTCTCGGAGAAATACTCCAGTACGTTGCTGGGGTTCAGGATGGGCACCCAGCCACTGTCCACCCACGAGATGCCCAGCAAATTATCTGACCAAAACAAAGCACAAAATCATATTCGAATGAGAACATTTACGTCAAGGAGTAAAATAATAAAATAAAAAAACATCGTAGAAAATGCAGAGAATACTGCGGGCCTCCTTCTACAACAAACTATAGCGACAATGCTAAAGAGCAATGTGATTACGTTGGTCTGACAAAGCCAACATTCAGATGAGATGTTTTGCATTTCTTTTACAGCATTTCAATATGATGACGAAAGGAATTTAACAGAAATAAAGCTGAGAAAAAATAAAACTATTTGTAAATTAATTCGCGAAATCTCTGAAACTACCTCTTAAATCCACCGACGCCATCTTCGCACTCAGACGCAGGCTGATGACAAAATAATCGTCGACGCTCTATGACGCTTTTCTTCTTCTTTTGATTTAATGGCGAGTTGCGAACCAACTTCAAATAGGTGCATATCGCCACCTACTGTGATGGAGTGTGAAAAGAATGAACAAACCCTCCTATATCCTATTATATAACCCACTATTCTTAATAAATCTCATGACTGCATGTATTTGTTTTCCTGAAGTTGGACCGTCATTTAATAAGCTGGTTATAGTAAATTCCTGGCATCCTACTGCTTGTAATTCTTCCTTAAGAATCCTCCTTTCTATTTCATATATCTTACATATCTTCATAACATGCTCTACAGTTTCCTCTATTAAACAGACATCACATAGACGTCAGCACCCCAATCTTGTCCTGCTACTGCTCTCATTAAATTTAAAAATGTTTCCACATTTCTTTAATATCAAATCTATATGGTCCTTCCATGATAATTTATCATCAAACCATAATCCTAGATACTTAAATTTTGACACTTTCTCTTAAGAAGTCCCATATAATTTAAGCAGTTTATTCTCTTTAATTTTCTTCCTTGTAAATATCTGGTAACATGTTTTAGATATTGAGAATTTAAATCCCCATTCTAACGACCATTTTTCAACTACTTCTATAGCTTCTTGAATTTTATTCATATT